CCATTTGCGCCACCCAGGGACCCCATGGGAATAATGATGCCCATCTCAAATGGGAGAGAATGCACATAAAGCACTCAGCACAGTGTCTACTAGCAGTTGGTCTACTAGCAGTGGTAGAACAGCAGCTGTTGCTAGAGTTAGTAAGACCCAGGCACCTTTAACCTATATTAGTAACCTGCAATATGATGAGTCAGCCACTGCCTTTTCCTGTACCTGTCTCCCTGCCCACCAGAGGCAAGCCGCTTGTCCCTTAGCTGCACCAGAGGGCGATGTGGGCAACGCACCCTTCTAAGATAGGCACCCACCATGCGTCTGCCAGTTTGTCATACTGTGGTGGCTCTCGTGTTGCTGTGATCCTGGAAGCTATGCCATCAGTATTTCAAATACCAGTAAGGTCACCCATGGTGGACAGGTTTCACCAGAGCTTCCAGACTAAAACAGACTAGGAAGAAGGACCTGGCAATCTGTTTCTGAAAAAATGGGCCAGTGAAAACCTTATGAATATCAGCAGAATATTGTCTGATATAATGCCAGAAGACGAGCCCCTCAGGTTGGAAGGCACTCAAAACACAACTGGGGAAGAGCTGCCTCCTCAAAGTAGAGTTGACTTAATGACATGGATGGAGTAAAGCTTTGGGGACCTTCATTTGCTGATGTGGCATGACTCAAAATGAGAATAAACAGCTGCAAACATCCATTCAACAACCGTAAGGATGGCGCAGGACCAGGCAGTATTTTGTACTGTTGGACATAGGGTCACTATGGGTCAGAACCAGCTTGACAGCACCTAACAACAAGATAGGCACCCCATAAAGACAAGGCAAGGTTATGGTTATTTATTCATTGTTATTAAGCATTAACATTAGAAACAGCTTGGCAGATTTTAGAAGATGCAACCAAGGTCCTTAGCATTAACTCTCCTGGGGCATTTCTCTCAATGCAGTCTGGCCAGAAGGTCCCTTTGGGTTGGGTGAGGGTGGCAGGAGAGGTGAGGAAGGAAAAGCATCAAGAAAGAAGGAATCCTTTGAGTACAGAAATAGCAAGCCAGTTAAAAAGGGTCTTAGGTCCTCTCAGTTTTCTCTCTCTGGGCCCTACCTCTTGCCTTTTCTCTGAAGCTCCATAAGGCAGGCTCTTTCATTATGCTTGCCCCTTTCCTTTTATAAAAACCTGCTTTCAGGGGACAAGCCTATAGATTTGTTAGTACTAACATGTAAATGACTGTTGGGCTTTATGCTAGCTCATTTTCATAAGGGGAAAAGCTTTCAGTCAATGAAATGAAAACCTTCAAATTAGTGGGAGAGGCAGACAGCCTTTCCAGTAACTCAAAAACCACACGACGTGCTCCATCTGGAATACAGTGGGTGTTCTATAGCCTGGCTGTGGCAGGGGGACCAGGCCCACCTGGGTGCAGCTATACTGACTGAGCAACTTTTGAACCCTCCATCCTCTTCCTAGAAGTACAAAAATGGGGCAGGATCCCCCTGAGGAGGGGAAGGGAGGAGACACTAGACAGAGCAGAGGTATGTGAAGTAGGGAGGAGCTACTTCATCCAAAAGCAGTTCTCAGGGGAAGCAGATCGGACAGGAAGGAACACAGAGCAAGCACACTGTTTCCTCAAAGAGTGACATTGAACGTACTGGAGAGTTAGGAGCTCTGCCTTCCAGCTCTTTGGGGTACCCTCCGCCTCCTCCCTCAGGCACTCCTTGCCCATGAGACACCTTGTCATGGTCAGGGTGCTTGCAAGGAGCTCAACTCATGGGCAGGTGCAGCCAACCTGGATACTGTTGGGGACTTCTCATCTGCCTCTCAGCCTGGGGCTGAGATAAGGCTTGGATCAGATTATGCTACCTGGTAGGGATTCGGGTTACAGAGAGGTTCAGAGCAGAGATAGTAAAAAGGACTGCCAGGGAGTGCCACCTGCCCTCCCCGCAGGGTGGGCCCAGATGGCAGCCATCTTGGCTCAGGACCGCGTGAAGCCAAGGTGAAAGGGCCTGGCCTCCAGCAGCCCCCAGGAAAGGGGCTCCAGCGTAGGAGAAACAGAGATGGGTCAGAGCCAGCCCTGGAACACAAACACCAGTATATTTCATGTGCACAAATGTGGAAAGGGAGACAGAGACCAACGGAGACACAGAGCAGGCGATGGGTGCGCAAACCAGTCATGTGTCCTTCTGAAGAGCTGCTCACAGTTAGAAAACAGTTCCACCCACTTCAAAGCCCCTTTTGCAGCGTCAGGGCCTGCAACTGCTCCAGGTCTGGAGTGGCCTCGGGTGGAAGGCAGGCACTCTCCTTGACTTAGCCATTATCTCCTCAAGGGCCAGGGCCTCTCTCCTTTCTGCGTCCCCTGACAATGTGTTTGCACAACTCAGCATTTCATAAATATAGGTTCTCATGAACCAACCCACTCAGCAGCTGCCTCCTCAGGAGACCCATGCAGAGCAAGGGACCAGGACAAAAGGACTTCACGGGCACTCCTAGGTATTATTGCTGTGAATAAGCATAGGCCATTGTGACTCACTGGCATTGAAGAGGGGACAGGGCACAGGGGACAAGATGCAGACGTCAGAAGCGGTTCAACCATGCAGGGCGACACATCTCTCTCTGGCTCTCTGACTCAGAGATGCGACCACGTCCAGTGGAGAGAGGCCCAGGACACCAGAGGTTCATAAACAGCAAGCAGACTCCCCACTGCTTTGGCAGGGCTGGATGCCTCCAAACATTGAGTCCCTGGGTACCAAGGGATTAGAGCCCTGCAGATACCAAAAAAAGCAATAGCTGAAGTCTGCGCTACTCGATGAGATCTGAACCTGCAGATGCCATGGTCAGGCCATGGGGAGGTGCCTCCCAGTGCTGGGAGCTCTGTGCCCTAGGGGCAGTGGGAGCAATGGGCACCTAGATGAAGCGGAAACACAATGTTCTGTATGTTTCCAGGCAGGCAGTTACTCCAAGACCTCCTGCACTTGGGAGTTTATACAGCCCAGAGAGAAGATGGTGCCAGGGAATGCCCACCTGGAGCAGGTAGACTCAGAGGGTCACTGAGGGCTTGCTGTGGCCAACAATTAGTGAGGCCTTAAGCTGGGAGACATCAGCAAGCTGACCGTCACCAGATTCAGTTGTGGGAGGGGAGGACAAAAGTGAGTGGTGTGGTCTACAGGTCCACATGGTGGGCCTGGAGGGAAACTAGAGTCCAGAAGACTGAGGTAACATGGAATGAGAGGAGGACACCTAGGAAACAGTTGCCCAGAGGGAAGAGGGAATCCAGACAATACTCTCCCTCTGAGATCTCCTTCATCTGCAGATGGGAAGCAATCACCTCCAATGGAAGCCTGGCTCCCTGTAACCCCTAAAGGCCTAGATTTGGGGCCACAGTAAAATCAAATGCAGGCTGGCCTCTGCAGAATATAGTTAATCCCTGGATTCAGGAGCCTGCCCAGGAAACGGAGCCCTGCTGGCATAGTGGTTAAGAATTTGGTTGCTAACCAAAAGGGTGGCAGTTCGAATCCACCAGCTGCTCCTTGGAAACCCTATGGGGCAGTTCTCCTCTGTCCTATAGGGTTGCTGTCAGTCGGAATCGACTGGGCAGGGCCCACTGCAGAAAACAATCCTGCCAAATGCCTCTTTCCCAGACCCAGGACACCACTCCTGCTGCCACCCCATCCCGCACTGCACTGTCTGCTCATTCTAGAAGCAGCACAGCAAGGAAGAGGAGATCTCTCCACGGGTGGTATCATCACTTTTTAATGATCTGTAAAAAGGGGAATGCTAATTTCTACCTAAGAGTCCTAGTGTGGTCAGGAAGAGACCCCATACCATGGGATGGGCTGCACTCTGGTTAGCCTCTCCCCTTGGGGAGTGGGGGCAGAGCCAGAAGTAAGCTGGAGGGAGGACTTTACCTGTCCACTGCCAGCAATGGACCTGTCACAGGGGTAGGGTGAGGACAGCCACCAGGATGACAATGCCTGCAAGTGTAGCAGAGATAATACTGTTTAAGGAGTAAGCTCAAAGGGGTCAGTCTTGCTGGGAGGGGATGGGGTACAGGGGGCAGCCCTGAGAAGGTTTTGCTCCAAGGGTGGGGTTCTGGCAGAACCAGAACTGATACCTTCCCACTCAGGATGCTCCAAGGAACGTTCCAAGTCCAAAAGGCCACTTCTTTTTAATTTCTTGCTTATTCTCCATGGGTTTCCAACACTGGAAAGGGGTTCCTCCAACCCCTAGAAAGCTAGTTATCACCCGGTTGGCTTGAAAAATAACCAATCAGCATAGATGACCTAGAATTCTCTGTCTTTACTCCCACCAAACAGATTTGTCTCTAGGCCTCCACGCCCCCGCTGTGAATCCACAGGGTCCATCTTGGCCTGGTTGTGCATTGGGGTATAATTAGTTTTCAGCGGGGCAACTATGGGAGGGGGCATGGAGAAGACCACCAAGGACACTGCCACAGACCACCAGATGGGGTGGGAAGTGTGGTGTGGGAGTTCCCCAGTCATCGGGCCAACAGGAACAATGAGGGGCAACTACAAGAGGACAGGGTAGGGTCTGTCTCAGGGTCCCATCTCTGGCAGATGCTGTGCTGGCTAGGGACCTGGGGATGGGGGCAGGGGCGAGTGGAATGACTGACAAGAATAAAAGGGCTACTTAGTGGTAAAGGCCTTGAAAATAAGAGAGAAAAAGGGGAAACGCCACCCAACACACGGGGATTGAAACCTCCAAAAGCCCAGGGTTGGTGGGAATCCAGCACCAGGGGGGCCCCCAGAAGGACAAGGGAGCAGCGTGGGGCCCTGGGGGAGGGGAGAGGAGCCAAAGGAAGGCCTTCCAGCCTTTGCAGACCAGCCCTGCTGCCAAGCAGCCTCGTGGCTGTCCAGTTTCTCTTTAGGCAGCAGCTCAGCAGGCCCCCGGGGAGGTATTGGTTGCAAGCAAGCACCTGAATATTGCCTAATGGAACCAGCCAAAGCCCAACTAGACCCAGGTGAGAGGGAGAGAGGTGACCACCTTCCGCCCCATTCTCAAAGTCCCTTAGCCAGGACAGGGCCCGATGCTTCCACAGTCACCCATGTAGTCCCACTGCTGCTCAGCCACAGGCCTCCCGCTGCCATCCTCTGAGCTGGGCCGTGATCCATTGTCCCTTCCCAATGTCCCTCTGTGGCCTCCACATCCTGCCACCAAAGACACGTGACCAGGCCCCCTCCCACAGACAGTCTACAGAGGAGGGTATGGAGGCTATATGTGCCCCGCATGACTGAGGCCGGGCGGGGCTTGTGCTGTACAGAAGGGGCCAACCTCACCTGCTTGGTCTTTGTCTATGAGAGATCCCCAGACCCCACCCGCCAGCTCCCCACTCAGTCAGTCTTGACGTGGCCATTGGCCAAGGCGAGGGGGCTGCCTGGCTCCCCAGGCTCGGCGTCCTTGTCAAAACGCAGGCGGAGGGTGTTGCGGATAATGAACTGCTCCATGATGAGGGCCCCACAGAACCAGGGCACGGCGTACTCCAGGGTGATGAGGCCCATGAAGTCAAAGTCGAACTGGGAGTAGTCCCAGGGGCAGGCATTGAACTGGCGCAGGATGAAGCCGGTGGTGAACTCCCACAGGTAGGTCCAGAATGTGTAGATGAGGCAGCGCACCAGCAGGGGGCAGCGGCCCCGCAGGCGCAGGTACATGCGTTCCACGATGAGGATGGAGGTGCCATAGATGAAGAGGGCCCACACGCTTGTGACCCCCGGGAACTTCCAGTTAAAGTTCACTACGAACTCCCAGGCCGCCGTGAACATCACCTCGCAGAAGTAGCCATGGATGGCGTACAGGTACCAGCGGGACAGCGCTGTCAGGGGCTCCGCAGAAGCCATGGTGCCTACTGGGGCCAGCTACTGGGGACACAAAGGAGAAAGATGAGGGAGGGAGAGAGTCCTCACTTCTGCCTTCCCACCACCCAGCCCAAGTCTCCGGTATGACCATGCTGGAGGGGATTTCAAACCCGCCTCACTCTACCTTTCTCCTTCCTCGCTTGTTACCAACCATATTCTATACCATATTCCATGTTCATTGTTTTATTTCATATTCCTTACCTTGGCCAGGTGGGCATGAGAAATAAAAGGAAGAAAACAAACACCAACCTCCTTGGCTTCCTCTGAGCAACTCTACTCAAATGCTACTTCGCTACACTCCCTATATTAAGTTTAGATTATCTGCAGTCTATTGAAGAGCTGGTTGTCCTAGCGTACCAATCACCCACATTTCTGGGCTACTAGGAGTCCCAGGGTAACACAAATAGTTAAGTGCTGGACTACTAACCCACAGGTTAGCAGTTTAAACCCACTCAGAGGCACCTCAGAATTAAGGCCTGGTGATCTGCTTCCAAAAGGTCACAGCCTTGAAAACCCTACAGAGCAGCGCCACTCCACACATGGGGTCACCATGAGTTGGAATCGACTCAATGGCAACCAACAACAACAGCTGATTCCTCACTCAGTCCATCTCTTCCCTTCTTCTCAAGCCCATTTCACTCATATTTCTGAGATCCTTCTAAGCAATCTATCACATTTGTCTTTAATTGCTAGGTTGAATGGAGTTTTTGTGTTAGTTTCAACGCTGAGGGGTTAGTGGACTCACAGGAAGTCTTCCCTTCTACTTCTTATTCCCTTCCCCCTCCTGTCTTTTAAACCCCACTCTGTCTTCAAGGCTCAGCTCCCATCCTGCTTCCCCAAAGACTGACCCAGCCCACAGGCTCTGCTTTCTCCTAGCCCTCCTCCAGCAACTGTCTAGACTACTCATTTGGCCCTATAAATACCATGCTATTTACTATTTTGAGGTACATGCCCTCTTGACCCAACTAGCCTGGGAACTCCTTGAGGTCAGGGACTGTTTTACAGTCGTCTGTTTTGCAGCTTTGGCACAGGCCTCTACTGAGCAGTGCTTTCTAAACATTGCGTGTTGTTTATGCGGAGAGTTAAAGTGGGTGAGTCCAGGGTTGCGTCAAGAACTGGGAAGGCAGGCCATGAGAAGATGAGTCCCAGTTCTGCTAGCTGCCAGCGGCCACTGGGCGTCCCAGTCTCATCTTTCAACTAAAGCAGGCCTAGCGACAATAATACCCACCCGTGTGCACTGCTTTGTGATCTTCCAAGCACTTTCATTCGTATTTTGTCATTGGTTCTTACAAAAGGAAGACTCCAGTAAGGGCAGATAGTGTTACCACAGTTTTTAGGTAAGGCAGTTGGGGTTCAGAGAGGGGAGGTCACTTGTTTCAAATCCCAGAGCCAGTAAATGGCAGAGCTGAGACTAGAACCCAAATTCCTTGATTTCTACTTCAATGCTCATCCTGTTGCATAACATTGCCCATCTCACAGGCACGTGCCTAACGTCACTCCCCAGCTCAAAAACATTCAATGGTTCCCCATTTCCTAATGAAAAACTACAACATTCTTGGCCTGATATTTAAGACTCTTCATGATTTCACCCCAATTTACCTTTCCAGCTTTGTCTTCCTTTATTCTCACAGTCCAGCTCTCCCTATCTGACCTCCATGCCTTGCTGATCCATTCTGTTTGGTGTGCCCTTCTCTCACCTCCACAAATACAAACCCAGTTTATAGGTGACCTTCTCATTCCCAGTCAGAAGTCCTCTCTCCTGCTTCTGAATTTCCACCGTACTCTCTCTCTAGTACAAATTGTTGTTACTAACTTTCCATCTCCAGCCAGATCTTTCTTGTTTTCTACACCTACATATCCTACTCCTTCCTGGATACGTCCACCTAAATGTCCCACTGGCACCTTAACAGCTTTCCAAAGAATCCACGGGGATTGGTTCCATGATACCAAAATCTGCAGGTGCTCAAGTCCCTTCCATAAAATGGTGTATCATTATAATTATTTACATAGCACAGGAATGAACTGTGTTTCGGTTGAAGCGGAATAATGATGGTCCGGCCAGGTTAGGGTGGACACGTGAGGCGCTTGATCAAAGCTGGCACTTTGAAGGACAGCCCCATCAGGGCTTCCCGCCGCAGGCTGCCCTGGGAGCCTGGGGTCTTTCAGGTAGGGGGTCCTTCAGGTAGGAGGTCCTGGGTTACTGTGGACGCTGCACATACGCGGTGCAGAGAGTGCTGGGTCCTGGGCCTGCCAACTTCCTCTCCATGCGGACCCGAAACCTCTGCTGCATGTCCGGTCAGGCCAAGAAGCACTGAACATGAATTTCCGACCCCATTCCTGGTGTCCTCACTTGTCCAGATTGTGTCGGGGTGAGCCTGCCTCAGTCCCCTTGGAAACTTCTTCCTTCACAGCCACATACCTTTCCTCGGGACGAACCCTGTCTTGCCTTACACTGCCCTTTGCCTTGCCCCCAGGCCCTTGAGCTCTTCCCCCCACCCCGCCATCCCGCCAGTGTTTTCGATCAGCAGTTGGTTGAATCCGCGGATGCGGAACCCGTAGATACGGAGGGCTGACTGTATCTGCTTTCCTTGTACTTCCCCATCCTGGTTAACGGCACCACCATGCATCCAGTTAGAAGCCAAAATCCCTGGAGGCATTCGAGCCTCCTCTACCATATGCACAGCTAACGTAACCTCCTCGAGAGTAAGAATCGTGTCTAGCTGGCAGTATCCCAGTGCCTAGAATAGTGCCCAGTACACATGTAAGCATTCAGTACAAGGATGAAGACATTTCTCAATCATTTGACTATTTGCTACATAACAAGTCATCCCAAAACTCAGCAGCTTAAATCAACTATCATTTATTATTACTAGATGGTAACATCATTTAAGTGATTTTTATTTCCTTCTTTATCCTCTTCTGTAAACTCTAAAATTTTTCTAACAAGCATGTATAATTTTATAAAAATAAATTTTTATCTTGAAAACTTTCATTAAATTAATATGCATTAATCATCTTTGTACCCTATATATAGAAGATGCTCAATAAATTTGCTAGACAAGTGAACCTAAGGAAACCTGAAGTCATGTAAAATAAAAGCCAGTTCCTCCCTGGGCTTTGAACCGGTTCGCTCCCATTTGCATTCCCATCCCAGATATACTGAATCAGACTCTACAGTCTAACAAGATCCCCAAGTGATTCTTATGTATAATAAATTGTGAGAACCACTGCTCTACCAGTGGTTCTCAGATTTGGTCCCTAACTAGCAGCATTAGCATCGCCCAGGAACTTGTTAGAAATGCAAATTCTCAGCTGGGGTTCGAGCCTGAACTAACCGGGTTGGAAGCCCTGGCTCCTCCCTTCTGAGCCATGCCCAACAAACCATGACTCACAGGTTTCAGTACGGTGTGGTGGTTAAGCACAGGGGCTCCATATACCAACTGCCTGGGTTTGAGTCCTGGCTGATACTCTCCACCTGTGGAATCTAGGACACGTTACCTGCTCTCCCTGTGCCTCAGTTTCCTTATAGGTAAAGCGAGGATAATAAGGGTAACTACCTCAGAGGGTTACTGTGAGGATGAATAAGCTAATACATATACACAAATTAGAATACAGCAAGAGCTCAAGAGATGGTAGCTATCGTTTTTGGCCTGGTGCCAGGCTTCCTGAACAGCCCCTCTCTCTTTGAGTGCCACCTCCTACCTGTGGCAGGGTCCCTCTGCCTTTACCCTCACCAGCTGCCAGGCAGCCTCCCCTGCCAAGCAGGTAGGTCTTCACCTCACTCAGAGCAACAACCTGGCTGTGAAAACAATAATCCCACATACAGCCTGTGGGAAAAAGAAAACTCAGCTGAGGAGAGGGAGTGGGAGCTCCCAGCTTCTGTGTAGCTGAGGATGGTTTAATTAAAGGGGAGGATCTCAGAACCAGCCTTCCGAGGGTCAGGCCTGAAAACAGGGTGGAATGAAAGGGTGACTGTTGTTGGCACAGTCTCTCACTTGGCTGTTAACCCACTGAGGTAAGCAGAGAACAGACCCCAGGCTCCAGGGAAGCCCCCGGGAAAGCAGCTGATGGCCCTGAGGCAAGCAAGGTGATGCTCTGGAGACCACTTTGCAGCCTGCCTGATTCAGACCCTCTGAACTTTGGTCTACTCCCCCATCTGCACCCTCATCCCCAGTTCCTCCCAGCCCACAGAACTGGGGAGAGGGGCTTCCCAGTCAGTGGTGCTGATCCGCAGCAGCCGGCCATGGTGAGTGGATTTCATCACGCACATCAGCTCCCAACCTTGCTGCGGATTTAGACCCACTCACTTTGCCTCTGATCTCATCTTTGGCCTCCCAGCCCAAGTCTCCCTGGAGCTGGTGACTTGGAAAAGTTGGACTGCAAAACCCTATTAGCAGAAGAGAGATTAAAGGAGTAGCTGCCAAAGGAGAGAGGAACCTACAAACTACTGAGAACAGAATGAGCCTGAGGCCTGGATTCTGTTTCTGGGCAGCAGGAAGAACTCAGGTAGGTAAAGAGGAAACATACCTAGGCAAGGTTAGACCGAGTCCAAGGGGTGGTCCAGGCAAGACGAACGAAGGAAACAGAAAGACCTGGCTGGGGGCAGAGGATGGGGTGAAGACCAGGGAGAGGAACAGAAGCCAGTGTCGTCAGTGGGCATGGCAGCTCACACTGGGAGGAGAGATGCTGAGATTAGAGATGCGGCATTGGCTTGGATGGATTTTCAGAACTCCATTCCCCAAATCTATCTCTAATCACAGGAGCCATGGTTACACTTTGAGCTACAGAAGGCCCCCCACCCTCTGCTGGGCCTGACACACCCTAATCCCTGCCCAGGCCTTCCCCACAACTGACCCCTTTGCCCAGGACCCTTCCCGTACCTCCTTGTTTGGCCCTGGGACCAGAGCCCTGGGAAAGCCTGCAGCGGAAGAGCCAGCAGCTCACAGGACGTTGGCCTCTTTCTCCTGGTGAGAAACACAACCATCTTAAGGACGGTGGCATGAAGAGGGGGCAGCCCAGGGAGGAACATTCAGGGTGGAGTAAAGAGGAGGAGAGCGTGGGCAAGACTGGAAGCAGGAAAAAAGGGTTTGGAGAGCAGTGGATGGTTTCACAAACAGAATTTCAGGAAACAACACTCAAATACAAGAGCCCTCCTGCTTGTTTGTGAAAGGGCCAGAGAACACAGTCCCAGCAAAGGGCCAGAACTCAGGTGACTTGTCAGGGCAGGAAACTCCTCTCCAAGGGGACAGGTGATGGGGAAAGGAGCTCCCCAAAAGCATCTTCTGTGATGCTCTCAGA